TCACCTCTTTCTTTCTCAACTTAATGCAGTTGCAGAGAACGTAGACTTGGAACTAGAAGTTTAAATCAGTAAATGCTGGCGGAACAAGAAATATCCCGCTTGTATTGTGTAACCCTTTTCTTGTCTGTCTCTGCAGACTTGCTCAATTGAACATGTGCCTTAGTGTTCAGGAATAGGCAGTATTCCTGGAGTTCAATAGCTTTAAGTGCTTCAGGTTTCTCTCACGGGGTGCTCCTTTCTTGTATGTACAGTATATTCACCTTTCATGCTTACTGACACACCACATCCAACTGCTGTTTGGCTCGAAAATGACATAAAATGGGAAAAGACTAATTCTTACTTTGTTTTCTCTTGTAAAATATGTCTTTCAAAGGGAAGTTAAAGCTTTTCTTCTTCTTCTCTCTCCTGTGAATTGCCACCTCTCTCCTGGTCTGTTGCCAGGAAAGTTCGAGAACACTTCCCATAGTGTACCAGGGTGCCTCAGCAGGGGTCTAGCAAATTACCCCCAACACAAATGAGATGTCTTTTCACAGGAGAATTCCACATTAACCCCGTTCATTTGAATATGAGCTGTGTTTCAGTGTGTCTACTGACATCCTTGTCCATCAGCTTTGCATGAACAGTTGCACTTCTTTCTCATCTTATTTTCCTGTGCTTTTTCTTCCCTTCACATATGTGCCAAACTAATCTAAACAATCGATACTATTAGAATTTCTCTGAGATTTAGTTTTGACTACCAGCAGTGAATATTTCAGTGTATAATTCCAGACTTGCTCTGTCTCATCCAGCAAAGGTGTTATGGCAGGGTCTTAACAGGGGGACGTTCTAGTGTTTTTAATAAAGTTTTATTCAAATATTGGTTTGTTTGATGCAACCAATGTGCCACCTTCTTCACTGAGTGGGATTTGCTGAGGTCATTCAAGCACTTTGTTGTTAGCCTGATAAGTGTTTACGTAATTATTTGGAAAAAAAAAAGAGTAGACGTAATTGTATTTGTTCTGAATAAAAAAATCTGTATACTTGTACCTATTGACTTCTCCTGCTAAGCATCAGAACTCAAAAGGTAGTAAAATGAGAAAACTTGTCCTTGTTTCAGGAAAAAGGTGTTACATTGCACCCAAACTAAAAACTTGTTAGTGAAACTGTGCCGTCCCCCCTTAAGCTCCTCTTTGACTATTATCTGAACACACTAAAGATAGTGTCTGCTATTTTGGTCAAGCTGCTATGAAATAATATAAAAAATACGTATTTGATCTGGTTGGCATCAATATCCATGCAAAATATCTGAGCTCTGAGTTACATCAATGTGACTCATTTCAAGGAGTCTAATCTGCAGGGTTCAGGTAATGCACCGTCCTAAATAGTGATATGCTGCATTCGCAGGAAAGCAAGCAAAATGTAGTTAGAGTGTGAATGCAAAGTCGTATTTCTGCGATCAGGTGATGGCGTGTAGAAGACGCTTTATGTGATGGAGTGATGGAGAGGGGGATCAAGCATCATATGGCCTCAGATCTAGAGAGTTTGTGCGTGACTGTAAATGAAACAAAAAGGTTTTGTACTTCCTCTCTCTGCATACTAGAGAGACGGGGTATCCTGGTGTGTCCTGTAACTTCCTGCAATCAAAATGCATTTCTTCAGAAGCATACGGCAGAGAAAGAAGAGCTCAACCACAGATTAGAATACATTTACTCTGCTGACAGACACCTGCTGTGAAACAAGCCCCACAGTTGCAGTAATGAAAATCACTTCCGTTACCTGCCACTATTGACAAATAACAAGGTTAAACTTCAAGAATCGTGCTGACTGCATGGGTTCAAGGTAGCTCCGCCACACAAATTTGACACCTGAAGCCCAACGTTAATGGCTGCAGATTGATTTCAGTCCACAGAGCCTCTTTGGCCACACTAGCCACTGTCCTGTACCACTCATTCAATCAGTCAGTCACAAGGGCAATCATATTTTATCCCCTTAATCATTTAATTAAGACCTTGTGTGGAAGATGGCATGACTAAACATGACTTCCGCTTTTGTTGCCGCAACTTTTACTTCGGCGTGTTTTCATATGCCGGGCAAATATTCATATTCAAAATAATTTGTAGCACTGCAGCTGCCAAACGCAGACATTATCTTCAGCGTGTGACGACAGTTTTGAATGTTCTCTTGTATAGCGTGTGCTTTAATTGTGTGAAGAATTTTTGTGATGTCCCATAAGTTACGCTAATGCTTCAACGTGCAATGGAGAGAATTCTCTGGCCTTACTAATGATTGTGCTGTTTGTGTCTTTTTGCACATTAACCTCCTCCGCTGATCGCTGCATGCAGATAACTGGGAGCAAAGTCGCGGTAAGTAGCCCATTATTTATTTAGCTTGTGAATCTTCGTACTTCTATGTATCTGTCTTTATTCACTCCCTAAGCTCACAAATACACATTACACATCATTTTATCTCGTTTTGGAAGCATGTTGAGGAGCGCATTCTGAACTGTGCAAGTGAGGGTCATTTCATTTGCTTTTCATTTTCACCTGTGATATTACTAATGGGCTTTAATTTGAAAAGGCTATAAACTGTCAACACATTTCCTGCATACAGATTTTTAGCACTTTAAAACGAGAAATCTTGAAATTCTACAGCCTGAAAGTGAGTCGGGACACCTTTTGTTGGTTTTTGCTGTTTCTCTTTGAAATTGATTGCAGTGTAACTTCTATTAGCATTTCAATACTTTAATATCCACAAAGAAGGATAGCTTTTACGCAAATTCTCATAATCTTCAATCTAATCTGTTTATCACAATGATTTTAATAATAATAATAATAATGGATTGCATTTATATAGCGCTTTACAATACCACTATTCATTCACTCTCACGTTCACACACATTTTGTCTGTGAGATACAATGCACATAGAGAATATACAGTAAAGCTTCTCTGACTACCCCCCACCACAGGGGGTAGCTCTACACGTCGCCTTGCTGTTATTTGGCGCTACATAAATAAAATTCAGTTGAACATGTTTAATTTGACAGATGTTCTTCCTGACACAACCCCAAAGGGATTCACGTTTCTTTTTGAGATCAAACTGAGGATCTTTCTTAGGTGCACATGTACCACACTTGGGATCCACATTAAAAATATACAGTATAACACTTAATAGGACTTTGCACACACTCATAAATACTGTACACAGACACACACTGACCCACAGTTCACTGCAATATTTTTCTGCCTAAAGCAGAAAAATTCGACCATATTAGGATAGTGGAAAAATTTATGGTTGTTTATCAAAATTTGCTGTCAACAGCTCCCCATGTGACAGGAACACGACTGGTTCCTTACAAATGCTTATTCTTCTTCTTCATTTCACTTCAGGTAGTTTACTTGAAGTATACTATTGGGATTTCCCACTTTATTGGCAATACACATTCATTTGTTCACATTATAATATGCAGATTACTTATTTTCACCTACGAAATGGCATCCCTCTTTTGTAAAGAAGAAATTATTTTGTGTTTTTTTTTTAATATCTACTGGTTCATAGTTTGGCAAGTGTTGAATTGTCACTTTAAACTGTGGCTTATTACCTTTTGAGAGCTTTGTGAGGATTAGGAGGACTGTAAAGCTTAACTGACACACACAGACAAAGTAAAGTAGCACTGTGTGACCTGGCCTCTGCTCTGCTCATGATCTCAGACAAACCTCGCTCTGCAAGGCATTTAACAGAACCATTTGTATCGATTGAGTTTTCTCCTTCTTTGTCAAACTGTTCTTTTGTGCTTGGTTATTTCCGTTGAAAGAACCGGTTTTTCAGCTCTGCCCCTATTGACCTGGACTGAGTAGCTTTCAATCAGCGGCAATGGCCGATTTGTTTTCACTAGGCATAATATGACAAAATCATACAAGTTTGAATTGTGAGATCTAAATTAAGAAGTTCTGCAAACCATGCAGGGACCCTGGTCAAATGCATTGCTTCCAACTCAAGAGCATACTGATTAGGGCTGCCAC